ATGCAGTGTATTATTTGTTGAAACTGTACTTCCGATTTGATTTGAAACTGTCTCATTGCTATCTGTTTATCAATAAAACTTAAAAAAAAAGAAAGCATCTAGGGCACGGGTGAACAGGGTTAGGTGACACTCTAATGAAAATGACAGTCAATCCAACACCAGACCTTTCTGAATTACTATTACAGTGGGTAGCTGAGCTTCGTTGGGTGCACTTTCCCTTCAGTAAGAACCCTCAATTTTGTCTTGGGGTGTCACTTCCTCCTCACCCTCAGCCATCTGGCTGGGGTGAGACCAACCTTCTCCCCACCGTCTTTCCTAGGAGTAGACGGGGATTTGTGCCTGGTGTTTGATTAGGTTGCAGTCCACCGACCTCATTCCTGGACCACTGATGGGCTGGGACCTCAGCCTGAGTTTGAAAGTGCTGAAAGGCACAGCGGTTGATGGTCTGCGACAGTAACAGTGCTGGGTCTGAGCCCAGCATGGCAGTGAGAGAGGGCTGGATGAGGCCATAGGTGCAGCTCAGTGGCTGGACGTTTGCCTGGCAGGCGTGAAGCCCGGGGCTTGATTCTCAGCTCTATAAGGTCAACTAAGTAAATATAATAAAACTATAATTATAATAAAATTATAGATGAGGAAAGTGATGAACTAAGGAAGAATAGATTCACTGAAGTCGTGGAGTTTTTAGAAATGGTGATTTCACAGCATGAGCTCCCTCACTGAGCAATCTTTGTGTTTGTAACATCAACAACCAAAATGTCTGGATAAAATGTTTCATTCATTTTTATTTTTATTTATTTTTATTTTTTATTTTTTTTTGCTCTAGTCAAGGGAGGGAAACTTTATTCAGGCCCCAAGGCTGCAGGCGTTGGGCAGGTGGTGCCCTTCTGGACGAGGGGCTGGCTGAGCTTTATTTGACCTTCTTCTCGGGGCGCAGGTTGTTGGTGTGGCCACACTTCTTCTTGCGGCAGTTGACAGCACGGGGGTGCAGGCGGGCATAACACTCGCGGCAGATCATCTTGTCACAGTTGTACTTCTGGGCAAGCTGGCGCAGGGATGGCTCGATGATCCCACCTCGCAGGCGAAGCACCAGGTGCAGGGTGGACTCTTTCTGGATGTTGTAGTCAGAGAGGGTCCGCCCATCCTCCAGTTGTTTGCCGGCAAATATCAGACGCTGCTGGTCAGGGGGGATGCCCTCCTTGTCTTGGATTTTGGCTTTGACATTCTCGATGGTGTCACTGGGCTCAACCTCGAGGGTGATGGTCTTGCCCGTCAGGGTCTTCACAAAGATCTGCATGTCTGCGTCTGCCGCTCGGCCGCATCGTTTTTTTCATTCATTTTTAGCAACTGTAAGTTCGGCCGTGATTGGTCGTTCCCGGTGGCATCTGTGTACAGTGTGTAAAGGGACATTTCATTCTTTGTTGGTTGTTTTCAAAAGAGAAGGTGGATGTGAGCTCATAAATTTCTTTTTATACCAAAGGTTTCCTTTTAGGGATTTATTTTCCTTCATTCAAGGAGGCTTTGAGTGAGTCAGGGTGTCAATACCTTTTGGTCTGTTTGGTTCTAGCTCTTATTCTCCATATGTGTTTCAGTGTGGTAATAATTACCTAGCAGAGGGGCGGGGAGATGGCTGAGTGGAATAAGCGCTTCCCTGGCAAGCACAAGGGCCTGAGTTCAATCCCTGGTTCCACAACAACAAAAACAAAACCCCAATTACCTAGCAGACTGGTAGCGATTCTTTTTGAACTCATTCGGTCTTTCACAACGTTTATCAAACTTGAGATAAGCACCAAATGTTTTGCCAAAGAGAGATTCAGAAGGACCCTGTTCCTTAGAATGTCCCTAGAATGTGACCTCTGCATGGAGCTCCTGACTCAGATCTCTCAGGTCCTGTTGCATGGCAGAACCTCAGCAATAGCACGTCAGAGGGTAAAGGGCCTGGACCTACAATATCTGTGCAGGATGAGCTCCTACAATGACGGTAGCCCTGAGGGGTCAACTACAGTGGCTGTGAAGGGTCATGCATGGTGAAGTGTTGTCTGTGACTCAAACATGAGTTTTGACTTTTGAACTTTTTTTTTTTTTTTTTTAAAGGATAATTACCCTTCCTAATACCTGGGTTGGAGTTGTTCACAGTGAAATAATTAATCACAGTCCCAATACTATTTAGAATCATGGCATGGAATGGCACCATGGTACTACAATGCACACTGATTTTGGTACCTGTCTTACCCTTCTTTCATTGCTGGGACAAATACCCAACATTCAAAATGAAGGAAGGAAAGGTTTATTTAGCTCACAGTTAGTGAGGTTTAACAGTTTAAAGCAGCCTGAATTACTCGGGGCCTTACTTGCTCAGGAGAGAGGGCCAGTGCCTCTGTCTTCTCTAAACATCTCCTCTCTGCCTGAGGTGCCTCAATTGCTGACACCTTGGCTCTGCGCTACAGGGTCTAGAGGAGAGGCTGAGGTGCCATCATGTCCATGATGACCTGCTCCGATCCTCAGAGGCTGCAGGCCTGGGGGGTGGGCAAAGCGCATGCTGCCAGTTTAAGGGCTCTAGCCTCTCTGGCCCCGCCCCTAGAGCCCCACCCTGTTCCTCTAGCCCCGCCCCCAAGCCACTCCCGGCTCCTCCTGCTGTGTGTCTGCCCCATGACTTACACGAGGTTTTGCGGGGACAACTAGACACAAACCATAACGACACCTATTAGTTTTCTAGTCATGGTGAATTAGTAGTGCGCTCCTCCCCCAAATGTGTGTGTCCTAACTCTGGAAACTTTGACTTTGATCTTATTTGGAAAAAGATATTTTGTTGCTCTTGAGATGGATTTTTTTTTTTTCCTAATGTATTTGGTTGGTACAGGGTTTCATCAGGCAGCTCGGCTCGTGGCAGCCCTCCGGCTTTCAGCCTCCCCAGTGCAGGGATTACAGGCACATGCCGCTATGCTCAGATTCTGGCATGCTCAGCCTGCTCTGGGGACGTGGCTGGCGACCAAACCACGGTCCCTGCGCTTGCCTAAGCTTGCCAAAGCAGGCACTTTAGTCCACTGAGCTATCTTGCCGGCCCCTTGAGATGGATCTTGACATGAGGTCATCTTGGGTTATCACGGTGGCCACGAAACCCAGTGACAACCATCCTTACAACATAGAGAAGACGCAGACGAAGAGGCCTGGGAGGCTGGGGCGAGTGGCTGCACTCAAGGAAGGCCAGAAGCAGCAAGGCTGGAGCAGGAGAGGAAGGTGCTCCCAATTCCCCTGGTGGAAGTGGAGAGCGCGGGCACCAGGATTCTGGCCTCTAGGATAGGAGAGAAAGCGATTCCTATTGTTTTAAGCATTAAGTTTGTGGCAATTTGTTATGTATTAGGAAATTAGTAAATTAGTTCAAACTGGAACCTCTGCTCTACTTCTTGTCTCCACTGATTGAAGACTTTGGTCTGCTTCAGATTTGGTGAAAACCAGGTTTCCATCTCTGGGTTGTTTTTGGTACCACAGATGCCTGGCAAATTCACTGAGATGCCTGGCAAAATCCTAAATGTGACACTTTCGGGATACACTGGCTTCAACCAGTGGCCTGGAGATCTACATGCTCTTCCAAAATGTGGCGATGGCCCTGAGAGGAGGCTCTGGTGCGGCAGGAGTCTCACAGAGCCGCCAGCAGGCTCCTCCCTCTGCGCATGGAGGGCCCCGGGAGCGAGAGGCCTTACTCGCCCAGTTTCCTGCCGGGCTGGTCCCTTCTAAGGGGGAGAGTTGGTCGCATTGGCTTTTAACGCCCTAGCGAGGCAGAGCACCGAGGCCGCCCCCTTGCTCGGCCTCCTCCACCCCTCCTTCCTTGTCAGCACAGCCAGGCGTTGTCTGAGCGCTTGCGCCTCCTCCCCGCCGCCTACACGCAGCTCCAAGCTCAAAGGACACAGCAGTCACTCAGCACATGGTCCTCAATCAAGTTGCATCAGATGAGTGGGCATTCTGCGAGACAGAGGACGCCTGCTTACCTTGGCACTGGGATCGGAGTGGCCAAGGACAGTTTCTTTTGTCACTTGCTGTATCCACTGTCACTGCACGTCGGGATCAGAAGGGCGGGTGTCAGTGCAAACGCTACATCTAACGCTCCCCACGCATCTTTGGAGCCCGGGACTCCCTACCTCACTGCTCCCTGGCTTCTCCACTTTCCTTTCCTTTCTCTCATATCATCTCTACTGTAGCATTTCCCACACCACAGCGGGAGGGGCTGGGAGGTCCAGCGGTGGGAGCGACCCAGAGCTATCGTCCTCTTTTTTATTTTTTTTTTAATCTCCATCGTTGAAGGATTGAACCCACTGTCTCTGTGCCGAGCTGTATTCGCACCTCTTTTATTTTACATTTCCATAAGTGACTCAGTTGCCCAGTTTGAGCTGCAAGTGGCGATGCTCCTGCCTCAGCCTCCCAGACTACTGGGGTTCCAGGCGTCCAGAGCAGGAGACTGCAGTCTCTGGGCGTCGCCGGCTCCCGCCCCCTGCGGGTTGGGGTCCTCCTCCAGCACCGCCCGGCTCCTCCTCCGGACTAGGAGTTCGCAGGGAGCTGCGCGCAGCGCAGGTGCCCGCGCAGGGATCAGGATTGGGACCTGGACCCAGATTGGCATCGGGATCCGGATTGGGATCAGCCCTGACTCTACTCGGGCTAGGCGAACCGGGATCAGGCGGGGCCGGCTCAGGTGAGAGCGCCTGCGTCCTGAGCGTGTGGCCGGGCAGCTCCAGCAGCTTGGGGCGCGCAAAGGGTCGCTACGCGGGGAGGCGAGGCAACCTGTGGGAACACCAGCGACCCGGGAAGGCTCAATCGCACCTGTTGGCCTCGGAACCCGGACCAGGACCCGAACAGTAAGCCCCCAAGAGGGACCTCACTCTGCTCCCGCTTTCCCGCGAATGGACAGCGGCCACGCCAGCTGCGGAGCCTCACCGAGCTGTCCCAACCCAGGGCTCGCGGGGATAGAGGGTGCACGGGTCCTCGGCAGGGAGGGCGAGAGGGTGGGGCGAGGCCCGGAGCCGGAGGGATCCTGCGGTCGGGAGGGCTCGCCCGCCTCCAGCAGAGCTCGCTCCAGCAAGGGCTCTTTCAGACCTTCGCGCTTGCAATCAGAAAAACTGAATTTGGGGGCGATTTTCTGTATGTTATCTGCATCCCTATGGTGACTTTAAGTTCTGAGAGCCTCAGTTTCCCCATCTTTCAGGTAAGCCAGCTGGGGTAAGCTAATTTCTGAGGCCTTTTGATAATGCGGGAGGTGTTTCCCTCTTGAACAATGTATGATTCTTTAACTCTGTAACCCGTTAGAACATTGCAAATCTCATGAAACTAAAAAGCCTGTGTCGAACTTGGCCCTTGGCTTCTGTGCTTATTTATTATATAGACTTTCAGGACTTTCCAGCCGAAAGTTGCAATGAAAGCAGAACGTTGTAAAGAGCTTGGAAATATGTCGTGTGTGTGTCGGAGACTGTTTAGACCACTTCCTGTGCTAATGTGAACAATCAGGATTATTTTCGAGCTCGTATTTCCCACCCTATAACGAAAATGTGAGGCTGTAGTGTAGCTCACTTCCTCTCCCAGGATTGTCCATTTGGAGGAAATAAAAACTGTCTTGGAGGAAAACATAAATTATACCTTTCCAGCTGATTATTGGTCTTGGGAAGTGTTGATTACTTTTTGGAATAATATTGTGTGCTGCACACTAAGGCACTGGCTTCTGACTGCTGTAAAATCGAGTTCAGTAGCAGGCACGCTGATTTTAGTAGTGCATTCATTTGTCCTGGACCAAATCCCAGAAAATACCACAGGTTAACTAAAGGGTTAGCCCAGAGATTAGGAATTTGCAACACACACACACACACACACACACACACACACACACACACACACAGAGACACACAGAGACACACAGAGTTGGACAAGGAGTATTATGATAAAGTATCAGTGTACCTTTCTTTCCTTTTTTTTTTTTTTTTGCAGAACCGGGGATTGAACTCAGGCCCTTCTGCTTGCCAGGGAAGCGCTTATTCCACTGAGCCATCTCCCTGCCCCTTTCTTTTCTTTTGATTAAAAACAAATATTGGCCTGTTGAGCAGACAGAGGATGGTAAATAAGTTTTGGCTGCTGCTTGAAATATATTGCTGATGGTATTTTCAAAATGGTTTGAGGTCTGGTGCAAGTTAGGATAAGCTGTGTCTGCAGCCCTTTTTGTTGGCTTTGGCCTAGATTCCTAAAATCATCTTTTCCCACCCATGTGCACTTGCTATGCAGTGTAGAGAGTAGGAAGGGTAGGAAGCACTGTACCATGAACCCGTTTTAACTGAGTCTCAAGGCCTCTTGGTCTTTGGGCTGGCAGTGTCATTGATCAACAAGGCACTTGGTGCCCTCGTGTTCTCTGGTGACGGAAGCGGTCATGTCCTGCGAAACAGATGCGCAGTGAGTTAAGGAAATTGTTTGGGGTGGAGCCCTGGCTGCTGGCTGCGGGGGAAGATGAACAGCGGCTGCCCTTGAGTGCCCACGGTGCACGCCAGCTCCCCAGTGGTGTGGGGCATCCCTGTGGGTGGCATGGTGATCCTTCTCTTCTGCAGTGCGGGCATCTCTTGACATGTAGATCAGCATGATGGGCCCACATGGCTTGTGTTTGGAAATGCCGTGACTTTGGGAGGTCTTGGAAGTAAAGTGTAAACATATCCAGAAAAAAAGAATTCTCTTGGCAAATACTGCACTGCGTTCTTTATCCCAAGAGGCAAACACACATACTAAAAACTGTCCCACGGAGAGGGAGCAAAAGGCCGGCTGTCTGTTCTGAGTCTTAAGCTTTCATGTGATTTACACATTCCATTTTAATTAAAGTAGAAAGGCACAAATATTTACCTACTGGCCAGGCTTAGGACATACAGCCTCCTGGAATTTCTATTCCAATTTGGCGTACTGAAAATTCAGAATATTCCTTCTCAAACACTTTTTACGATTGCATAGTAATATTACCTATTGTCTTTTAACACACATGATCTTGTCAGTCTTTACAGAACTTCACCACTTGAACTACAACGCATGTAGAGAGAAATATGTAAGATACATTTATTGGTTGACAAGCAGTCTAAGAAACCCTAACGGAAGGGAAACAGCACACTGTGTATCACTCAGGAAAGAACACTGCCCTTGCTCAGGGGCTCCTCCTTTCTGCTTTCCTTACCACAAGCTTAGTTTTATTGTTTTTAAAACAGAAAATCATGAGTACAGTAGACATTCTTTTGTAGAGAGTTGTACTTAACACTCTATTTATGAGCTTAAGCCATTTTTTCTCTTCCTGGAAAGAAAAACATCCTGAAAGAACTATCTATACCCTCTGTTCCCAACTCTGAACTTTTTCTTAACCCCATTCCTATTCTACTTTAATACATGGCTTCTAATAACATTTTATTTTATTTTATTTTTTTGCAGAACCAGGGATTGAACTCAGGGCTTTGCACTTGCCAGGGAAGCGCTTATTCCACTGAGCCATCTCCTCAGCCCCATAATAACATTTTAGAAGTAAAAGAAATCATACCTAACTTGCAGGAGTTGGGAAAGGTTGTTTCTCCTCTGTCCCAAAAGCAGAGTAACCAGAGCATACTCATAAGCAGGAATATGTTATGATCTATCACGACCATCTATCAAATTACCCTAAAATTTAGTGGCTTAACACAACAGGTACTGCTGAGTATTTCAGATATTAGCAGTTAATAAATGTGTGAGTCTGTTTTAGAGGTCTCTGTGGATACTTGCCCATACATTGTCTTCATTAATACAGACTTAGTAATCTTACTTTATAAAAATAATCTTACTTTTTGATAGAGCAAATCTCCATCTTGCACATGGAATTAAGCAGTGACCATCTGCATTCTCTGGTTTGTTATGCTCTATGTTCCTGGAGGAACAGCTTAAAGGAGGGAAGACGTGTTTGATGACTTTGAGGCCGAGTCCCTGGTGCCCCGGCTCCGGGGTTCCGGGTTGGCGCTGAGGGGCTACACCGTGGTGGATGGGCGTGGTCGGCGAAGCTGTGGACCTCCAGGAAGGGGAAGCCATGGGTGAGAGGCTTGAGCACCCCAGCGCTCCGTCAAGTCCGCAGCTGACCGACAAACCTCTTGCTAGACATTTTACTTCTAAACCAGGGCACTTGTCGCCACGCGCTTGCTGCACATTGTTGGGAGGACGCTCTTCTCCCGTGGCGCTGACCCTGAACCCGGCCCAGAGTCAGCGTGGGAGTGTGGGGCCGTTTGCAGGCTCTCTCTTGTGCTTCCACGACCCCATCTGGGTCCTCATGCTGGGGCCGCGCTGTGTTGGCTACCGCGGCTTGGGAATAAGTTCTGCAAATGGAGCCGTGAGACCTGTAGCTTTGTTCTTTCCTTCCAAAATTGTCTGGATGCTTCTCTTGTATATTCATTTGGATTTTGGCCTTAGCTTGTCAGTTTCTAAGCAGGAAGTAGCTAGGATTTCTAGTGGCATTACGTTGACTCTGAGATCAATTCCTGAAGCATTACATTCATAACAATTTTTTTTTTAAATTCATGGGATATCTTTCTATTTATCTAAATATTTTATTTTTAAAATAATTTTTTAATTTTGAGAGGTTACTCAGGACTCAGTCCAGGGCCTCACACATGCTAGGTAAGCACTTGCCCACTGAGCGACATCTCAGCCCTTTTCATTTCTCTCTTTATTTTGAGATGGGGCCCTCCCAGTTGCCCCGCTGGGTTGGACTGTGCTGCCCTTCTGAGGCAGGGGGGTACAAGTGCGCACCACCACATCCAGCACATTTAAGTATTTCTAGCGCCTTTCAGTGGTGTTTGATAGCGTTCAGGGTACAAATGCTACATATGTCACATTAAATACACTGTTAAGTGCTTTATTCTTTCTCTTGCCATTAGAAATGCCATTACTTTGAATGTCTAGTTCCAGATCATTCCTTGCTTATGTATAAAAATACAAATGATGTTTGTATATTGATCTTATATTCTGCAACCTTAATAGGTTTATTGGTTTTTATGCTTTCTTACAGATTCCTTGGCGTTTTCTGCGTCAGATCGTATCATTAGTGAACAGAGACCGTTTCACTTTTTTCTTTTCAACCTGGATGTTTTTGACTTCTTTTTCCTGCCAAACTGGCCTGGCCTGGCCTGCGAGGCCGGAGTTAAGCATGATGGTCATGGTGTGTTTTCTACCCATGACTCTTTATATCCTTACAGGTTGAGGAAATTTCCTTCTTTCTTTGTGGAATGTTTTTCGGTTTTCAGATTTTTATTTTTATTAACACACCTTTTAGTGTATAGTGACTACATTCATCAGAGGGAGTCGGTACGTGGACGCACCGTGACGTTTGAAACCATCACATGGTACTGCATCGTCATGTCCTTTTGTACTGAAGTGGTGGTGTCCTTTCTTGGGTGGATTCTGCCACTCATGGCCGCATGGTCCTGGCTGAGTCATCTGGGCGTAGCAAGGCCCTCTCACGTTGCTAGGCAGAGTGTAGCGTCTTTGCATCTAGCTCTTCCCTGGTGTCCTTGTCAGGCTTTAGTGTCAGGATAACTCTGGCCTCACAGAATGGATTTGGAAGCATCTAAAAAGCTTGCTTCTGGATGGCTACATTTTCCACTAGTAACCTTGTTGTAGTTTCCAATGCAGTAGAAAACCCACATGTAAATACTTTTGTATTTT